TTACCAATTTAAAAAACAAAACAAAACAAAACAAAAACAAAAAAAAACCCACACACAAAAAAACCCACCCTTTTTTTTATTATTGAGTGCAAATTGAAAACCCTGTGTATTTTCTGAGGTTCTTGGGCAGAATGTAATCCTATCTTTGTTGTGGTTAGAGGCAAAACTTGTTTACTACCAATATCCATTTCTGTTCATCTCTACTTTCTCAAAAAAAAAAGTCTCAAAACTTGTTTTCCTCTAAAAATGATTTAAAGTATACTCACCACTGAATTTATGTTTATTTCTGTCTCCTACTCTGTGCTCTCGGTGTTTTTCACAATGTCCCTACCACTTTGGCTAGTTTAATCAATTCCAGCTTGTAGAAAATACAGGCTAAATCCTGTCAGTTCGTACAGTAATGTCCGGGCAGCTACAGGGATTTGTGTCAGCCAAGAATCTTCTTTACGGTCCCTTTGGCATATTGAGATGTACAACAAATGAAAAAAATATATATTTTTATCCCATTGGATGGTGCCATCAGCGCTCCAGCAGCAGTATGCTTTGTAGATGTACTTACCGCTCCTAAATATTTGAAAGTACATCCCCTTGCGGTTTTTCAAATATTCACTTTGTGGCACTACTAAGACCACAATAGATGGATTTTTAAGTGTCTGAGTCTGTGCAGTCCTTCACTCCATATATGCATACAGCAGATGGTGGAGCTAAAATGAAGGTGGAGCTGTCTGATATGCCATTTCTGCCCTGCAGACAAAATGTGTAAAGCACTATTAGCCTTTTCTAGCCCCTTTCCTGGCACTTCACCAGCTGCTTAATTTTTCTCTCTAGCTAGCTGCAGAATGAAGATTTCCATTCTTTCCCAAGAACTAACATCAGCTGCAGGAGCACCGCGCACCTCAGTGTTAACAGATAAATGAGGAATGACTAAACCCAAAATTTCATGGCTGTATTCTATTTTATGGTTTGGACATGATCTAAAATATCTGGCTGACGTGGAGTGATAAACGGGCAAAAGCTTATGGCAGCAGTGAGACCTCGCAGGCTACTGATCCCAATCTCCATCTTTTGAGGTTTTGCATTATTTAAGGTTTTGGGCCTTCTTGTAAGATTTGGTTTACATTTTTCAGTTAGACAAGCTAGCGGAGATCCAGTCAGAGATGGGAGATAACTTTACCATACAAAACTTCATAGAAAAATACTTCTAATAATAGACTTTTAAAATGAGAAATTTTTCCAGTCCCAAAATAGTCTTTCTGGTTTAGCACCTCATTTCAGTCTGACAGCCTGTCATATTTTACTGCCTTCATGCTGCTTCCAAGAATGTGAAGAGCTGTTTGGATGTCATGTAGGTGTAGTTAGTTTGTTCTGCCTTAAAACAAATGTACGAGAATAATGCAGTATAAACCCGGTTCAAAGTCAGGGGAAGGATACTCATTACCAACTGCAGGCTTCGCATCCTCAGGGAACAGCGGGTTCGGCACTGACGGCGTGCTTCATGCTGAAGATGTACCTTTTTTGTTTGAGCAAACGAATGAGAAGAATGTCACAGGGAGAACTTTCTTATCCAAATTTTTCTCAAGGCACGGGTTGTCTGCATTGCAGAGTAGCTCCTGGAGCTGCCTAAACTTAAGCGCAACTCCGCATGCCCCAGACTGAGGGATGACACCACCAACAGCTGTGGGGCTACTGCTGCCTCGGGAGGGGTCAGGGGAAGCTAGAGTCAGTGGGGCAGGCTGAAAGTCGTCAAGTTTGGGGTGCCTCTGATGGCAAATGCAATGAGGATAGTGGTTGCCACGGCAGGGAAGAAAAAAATGTAGATGCTGCATCATCCAGGACTGAGCCTAGATGCTTCTCCTCCCCACACCTCCACAGCTGCTTTCGCTGCCCTCCTTTGCCTGTGCTCAGGGCCACCCGAAGCAATACTTCTAAATAGTTTTTTTTAAGTGTTATTTTAAGCATCGTGGCTATTTATCTGTAGTTATGTTCCTGAAACATAAATCTTTTTAGGTTTACCTATTCTGTGAAGTTTATAGATGTTTACTCTAGTTCTGACTACAAAAACTAAGTGCAACACTGGGTATTTGCTGTCTTGGTTTCTTAAATGGCTCAGTTATTGCTGTAGTACCCAGCTACTTCCCAGTCTTTACCGTGTGTATCATACCACCATCCCTGCAAGTCAAGATCCCTCTGCTTCGACCTTTCATCCCCCTTTTTTTCTGAACAGTCACTGTGGGCATCTGTCCTACGCAGTTCAGTGCACACGCAGTCCACCAGAAGCCAAGAGGCATTGATGGGACTTACCAGCTCCCTAACATAGAGCAGGCTTTTATTCCTGAGTTGTTAAGATGCTCCCTGCAGTATTTACTATTAAATTAAAGAAGCTGTTATGAAAGGACTGACAACCAGTCTTTCATAAACTAGGTTCGGGGAGACTCCACTGCCTGTTGCTCACATGGATCAGCACTATCACATTAATTCCAATAACAAGTGAAAACACCTGCTTTTAACACGTGCCACTTGCTGTTTTCCAGAGTGAAGATTCAGATGAAGAAGACCTCTGTGCTATCAGTAATAAATGGACTTTCCAAAGAACCAGCAGACGATGGTCTCGGGTGGACGACATTGATGCTTTGCTGCACCGATCAGACAGACATGGATCTTCTGGGGACATTAAAATGAAAAACACAACAAGCAGCGAGAGCGTCCTTACAGATCTGAGTGAACCTGAGGTCTCATCTATTCACAGCGAGAGCAGTGGGGGAAGTGACAACAGGAGTCCGTCCGGCATCAGCAGCGCTGCCAGGGAGACCTGCGACTGCTCTGGCCAGCATGATGTAGAGAGCACGCTGCTGCAGGACTCCGCTGCGATAAACACCGCCCTGTCCCCCAAGGACAACCTGAAGAATGAGAAACCAACGCGAACCAAAGCAAAAACCTTTCTGAAACGCATGGAGACACTAAAAGCAAAAGGTGTGCATGGAAAACAAAAAGGCTCGGGAAAGGACCTGTTCTCCAGTATGAGCCAAAATCCTTGAAAGACATGCACTGTGTTCAGATTGTCAATGGCGATCTCCAAAACTTAGGACAAGATTCAGCCAAAAGAGGACTTCCGTTTTGTGCCAAATCCAGCAGTGACAGCAGTCAGTCCGAAAACAGCAGCAGTGGGGTGAGCACGCCGTGTTTGAAGGAACGCAAATGCCATGAAGCAAACAAGAGAGGTGGGATGTACCTGGATGACCTAGATGTTCTGGCAGGAACGGCCTTACGGCAAGTGGCGGACGAAAACCGCAAAAATGAGTTTCATTCCCAGGAGAACTTGGTTGTGCACATTCCCAAGGATCACAAACCGGGGACCTTCCCAAAGGCACTTTCTATTGAAAGCCTCTCACCTACAGACAACAGTAACAGTGTAAACTGGAGGACAGGCAGCATCTCTTTGGGAAAGCAGAACTGCTCTACTCCAAAAGAGTCGGGATTGATGGCTTGCTGTCCCAAAGAGAGCAGAATTAGTATTTATGACAACGTGCCAGGTTCCCACTTGTATGCTAGTACTGGGGACCTCCTGGACTTAGAGAAAGATGTTCTTTTTCCTCATTTGGATGATATATTGCAACATGTCAATGGACTTCAGGAGGTGGTAGATGGCTGGTCAAAGAATGTGTTACCAGGTCTGCCGGTTGATGAGGTGTCAGTCAGGGAATCTCCGTCATTACCTTTCCAGTCGCCCACACAGATCACTCTCGATTTTGAAGGAAACTCCGTCTCTGATGGCCGGACTACACCGAGTGATATGGACAGAGATGGAACATCCCTGAATGAATCCGAAGCCACTGGTGTTAGGGACAGGAGAGACTCTGGGGTGGGAGCATCACTCACAAGGCCAAGCAGGTAGGTAGCAAAATTTTGTGCATAAATCCACAGACTGTGAAATATGATATAATGAAGCAGAGGCTCTCAGCCTGGGAGTCAGAAGGTGGAGGGTACCATTACAGCTGTACTCATCCTGTATGGGGACTTCCCAGGGAAGGGTGGGACTTTGGGAGAAGGGACATCCTGCTGTGGAAATTCTTATGTGGAATCAGTGGAGAATTAGCTTAATAGAGCAAACTAAGTTGTTGAGGTATTTTTTTTCTCTCTTGATCCATTCATTACATAGCAGGACCTTGTATATGTTGTGGGATGTATTTTCAATTTGTCTACTAAGCTATGCATGCCAGTATTTATGTACCAGTAGCCTTGTGCACTTTTTTTATGCGCTGGTCTGCTTTAAAAATGTATCCCTTTGTGCTCAAAAGAGGATTTCCCTACCCTGCCTCGCTCCCTTACATGATGGGATGGAAGGATGGTATACATTTAGCTTCTTAATAAAAGTGAAAAGCAGGATTTTGTTAATAGTTTGCAGACCTGTTTTAAGTCAGAGGGGTGAGTTCCTGTTGAGCCAAGGGAACATGATCCTGGGTAAAGGCCTTTGTGGATCCATACTGCTGTGTGTAGGGTGGCTTTGTATTTGCAAAAGCAGTGAGGCAATACCTGGTATCGTCTGATCTGCCATCAGTCTTGTCATGTCCTCACAGAGGATTCTGCCATGCCATGGTTGGCTGCCGCCTGTGCATGCTCACCGCCATCACAAGCAAGTGAACTCGAGGAAACTACTGAGTAAATCAGCAGTGCCAAAGTTTTTTAGGATTTGAGCCAGAACTCATGTTTGTGCAAAAGCAGTGAGACAATACCTGGTATCGTCTGATCTGCCATCAGTCTTGTCATGTCCTCACAGAGGATTCTGCCATGCCATGGTTGGCTGCCGCCTGTGCATGCTCACCGCCATCACAAGCAAGTGAACTCGAGGAAACTACTGAGTAAATCAGCAGTGCCAAAGTTTTTTAGGATTTGAGCCAGAACTCATGTTTAGCAAAACAAGAAACTTAAATGAGGGTTTTTGGTTTTTTCCAAGTTATCCAGTATATAGAGAAAGTATCTTGGAGTAAAGAGAAGATGTGAGTGGCTCAGTAACTCAGTGGTTATGGCTCTTGCCAAGGAGACACAGGGTTTAAGCTCTTCTCCAAAAAATCCTTCAGTGTTTAATAATAGAGATATTTGGAGAACCTCATCTCCAAATACCTTGGTGGTCAGGCCAGTCCCCTGGGAGGTGAGGGACCAGGCATCAAATCCCAGTTCTGAGTCAGGGAGAGAACATGTGAATCTGGGTCTCCCACATCCTGTTGGAAATGTGTGGGCTAAAGGGCACAGCAGGCAGCACTGCTTCCCTGAATACATGGATGGGACCCACACCCACTTCTGAATCTAACATTAAAAAATCAAAGCTTGAGCATTTCCAGAACTAAAGGGCTTGAGCAAATTGTTTTATTTGCCTCCAAGTTACATTTTCCTCAAGCTGACACACCACGATCCATAATGTGTGTGTTTATGTATGTTTTGTATATTGCCCAGCCCTATCTCACAGTATTCTCTCCCAGTTAAAGCAGTGGTCTGATTTTTCTATTGTTTCTTTTGCTAAAGGCGATTGCGATGGCATAGTTTCCAAATCTCTCACTGCCTGAGCCACTCCATCGCATCCCTTCACATCAGCAATCAGTCAGCAGCCCAACTGAACCTACTGCAGAAATTCTCCCTGCTCCGTCTTACTGCCATCATGGAAAAGTACTCCATGTCAAACAAACATGGCTGGACCTGGTGAGTACCATCAATAACTGGAAAAGAGAGATTTTCAGAAGAAAACAGTTTCTCCTAATTCTGTTATTCTAGTAGTAAATTCAGTAAATGCTATTAGGAGAAGCAATTGACTTCAGTAGAATTTGAGACTGTCCCCTTTAATCTGCCCAGTGACTCACTGGCAAAGTCAGGAATAAATCCTGCAGGTCTGACTTCATTCCTGTTCTCTAACAGAGAGACAACCCCAGTCACTCTAACAACACTCCAGTTCCAGGAAAATAAACAGGAGTAGGAA